GCATAATTTCCATTATTTGGGAATTTAGTTATACCAAAACAAGGAATAATCATTCCTGATTTAATTTTACAATAATTAATTGCCTGAAAATAAACATAAATCAATACTATATAATATCATGCCATTTATTTTGCTATATACAAATAAAATAAAATCAATTACCTCATTAAAAAATGCTTTTTTTAGATTACTTGAATTATTTAAACTTTTTAATACTACACCAAAAGCTCCATAATAACTAAACTCTTTTTTATCTTCATCATAATCAATTATATTTCCCCTTGTCCATGTAGCAGTATAAATTGAACTAAATCCACCTTTAGTTAATTTTGTGACATTTTGAAATTGATCAAAAGGTATCCATTCTAAAATATATTCAGGCAAAGATGAAATTTTTTGACATTGTTGAATAAAATCATCAACTATGTCATTACCAGATGTCCAAGTGGTGAAAAGACTTTGTAATTGTAAACTGATGCAATTTTCACAGAATCTATCAGAGTATTTTGTTGATTTACATTTGTTGCATTTTTTTGGTTCTCCCAGCTCATAAGCTGCATTATTTAATTCTAAATCATAAATGTATTTTTTTTCACAATATTCTTTTTATTTTTAAGGAAATCATATGATTTTATATTTATAATCAATTTCAAGCAATGAGCTTTAATTGTTATTTATTATGGTGTAACTAAATTATCAGATAATGGCAATTATTCATGGTTGAATTTGTATGTTATGATGCCATCGTCAATCGAAAAATTTGATGGTTTTTATTAAATCACCAAGGTAATAAATATTCAAGGACTGAATAACATTTTTCTGTTGTTTCTGTAATACTTGTAAAATATTTTCAATTGGAAATATCTAATTTATTTATCCATGACGTTACGACACATATAGTATAATATATTTAACCGAAAATCATTATCATTTTCAGAATGGGAAGTAGTAGATTTAAATCAAATTACATTATTTGAAAAAGGATTTGTCATCCAATATCCGATATATACAAATTACTATGACTTTATTTTATCCTTTAAATATATATATATATAATGCATGTATGTATGCGTTTATCTGGAAATTTTTTTTTGAAATTAATTACAAGTAAAGAAATGTCTACATTTTCTAGTATAGATTACGATAGTGCAGCGTATAATACATATCGTCCAACGTAAGTTCAATGTTCTTATATAAGTTTATACTATTCAATATATTTTTTTTAATTCTTTTTCCCTCTTCAAATGCATCTTCAAGATATCCACAAAAATTATTCGAAAATGTTTACAATTATCATAAATCACATAATGGATCATTTGATGCAGCCTTAGACGTGGCGACCGGAACAGGTCAAGTGACTCAAGTATTAGCTGATTCATTTAAAAAAGTTTGTGGCGTAGATTCATCAGCAACAATGTTAGAAAATGCAGTTAAAAAATCAAATATTACATATTCGACCTCAAGTGCTGAAAATCTCAAACGATTTGATGATTCTTCAATTGATTTATTAACTGTCGCTCAGGCTGCTCATTGGTTTGATTTACCTAAATTTTTAGAGGGATCTTATCGTGTTCTTAAATCACCATTGTCATCATCATCTGGTGGTGGTGGTACACTTGCAATTTGGGGTTATAGTTATAATATTTTTGATAATTATCCAACTGCTTCCGAATTGTTGATTGATTATTCTACAAACTTTATGGATGATTATTGGGAGAGAGGTAGATTGGCACTTGATAATTTATATAGAGGATTTGAGATTCCTGAGCGTTTATTTAAAAATGTTAAATTCGAGATTTATGATGGAACTAAAAAGAGTGAACAATATCGTTTGATGGAAGCTGATTGGACAATTTCTCAATATGAAAAATATTTAAAAGTAATTATTATTTGATTTCTTTGATTTATAATTATATAAATTAATATAGCTGATTATTATTATTATTTATAATTGTAGACATGGAGCTGTTATAAGACATTTTTATTAAAAAACCCAAATGTTGAGGATCCAGTTAACAAATTGATAGCAAGGATGAAAGAAGTAGAAGGTTGGGAATCCAATCAATTATTGAAGATTTATTGGCGTACAGCTCTTATCTTGGCTGAAAAGAATTAGAAAATGAGTTTTTATTAATTCAACTTTACATGTGATGAAACATAAATAAATAAAATAATACAAATCAAAGCTCGTTACAATGAACCTCCTTTGTTCCCAAAATTTGTTCACTGTAACAAGAATCTCTTTATTGTGTAATTTAATGTAAAGTTCATTGTAATGAGAGTTTTTTTAATTATAATTTTATTTATTTAAATCGTTAAATTATAATGACATTAGTAAATTTTTTGATATAATTCTAAAGTCATTTATTGGAGATTTGGATAAGTTTTATGTAGATACTTATACACAAGTGTTTAATATTATGTTCCCTAGAAATCTATGTTTATTAAAACAGCGATGGTGAGCACACAAATTGCATCCGTTAGTGTATTGTAAAAGTAGAATGGTAAATGATGAAATTCTAATTCTTGTGTGTCAAAACGTCATTAATATAACAAATGGTCATTATTACTGTTACGAATTCAACTCTTTATCATTGCTTGCTACACCCCGCAGGACCGAATATAATAAAAGATTATTTAAATTTTACATTCATATTTATAAACTTTGATTTTTTCATCAAAAATTAAAATATTTCGTATTTCATGAATATTATCTCAACCCATGCATTCTTCATTGCCTTCGGATATACTAATACTGTACCTACATAATTTTTTTGTTAAAAATTTTTTATTAATTATCAATAATAATTGAGTATAGGGGATATTCATTATGGTATAATTCTTGCAGAACGTATGTTATGTATACCAATGCTTAAATCCAAAAAAGTATTTAGAATAAAAATTTGTGTGTTACTTGGCATGGCCATACCATACCATGCCATACGTTCTGCAAGAGTTATACCATATTGAATTTCTCCCTACCGATAATAATTCTATTAACGTGAACAACCAAAATCAACAGAGTTGTGTAAATATATATTTTTTTACATCTTCATCACTCCAACCAGAACATGGACGTAGTTCAAATTCATTTGGTCTTTTGTCCTTTGATGTTGTGATCATTACTATTTTCTGATAGCGTTGATGATATTTGAAAATAAATTGGCAAAGTTTTTTGTTGTTTACTTTTACAGTCACTTGTTTATCTAAATGTCCTTCATTATAATCTTTATCCAGCTTGATTTGAACACTCTCCGCGCAGCATCTACTAATTTTGAATTTTTAATTCATACATATATTACTCTGGTACTAGTTTGTTGTTGCTTAATATTAACAAAGTTAACAAAAAAAAAATTACCCGAGAATTTGAAATCCATTTTTATTATTATTAAATTATTTATTAAATCTTTTATCAGGTTTATTATTATTATTACTAAAAATGTTATTGAAAATAATTTAAATGAAGGTATAAGACTGGGAAACTTAATAGAAAATAAAAATGGGAAAAGATTAATAGTAACATAAAATTTTTTGAATGATAAAGTTTGTGGTGCAATTTGAATAACCAAACTCTCAGGTTGCATTTGTTCTGTGATATAACCGGCCCTTGTCAGATGTGTGGTCACTTCCAACATTAGTGAAAAAACCTTTGTCTTTCTTCCTCAAGTAACAATCGCAATGTCCCTATCTTCGTTGTTGGAGGCATTGGGAAAGATTAATAGAGACAGAGATCTTTTGAAGAAATATTTGATATGATGAATCCGAGAATTATACATTTATCTTTCTCCATTCTTCTTCCGCTTACTCACCACAACAGTTACAAGCAATGCCTTCTTGCAGACATTGTGTAAGTAATGGAAATACATCGAATCCACACGCCCGTTGATTTCTTGAAACATTCCTCCATGCAATTCAAGTACAAGACGCACCGTGGACTTTTTTTTATTTACCATACGATTGTATACGCAGTTTATCAGGAGAAAATCTTCTTTCTCAATAATACCATCCTATGATACCTCCAAAGTAATGACTTTTTCCAGTTGTTGTTTTCGTAAACAATTGCATAATGAACGAAGATTTTTGTGTCAATATTAATAACGTAATATGATCATTACTGATTCCTATTTTAAATTAAAAGTCGGATGGCTAGAATTACTAGTATTAGTGATATAATAATAATACATAAACAAGCGCAAAACTTATTTAGGAATTTGCAAGGTTTTCATGGCTCGGGAACCTCCTGTGGAATTTTT